AAGTATAATTATTTAATGGTTATTTTATTCAAATATGATTATATTATTTTATTATTATTATTTGTTTTTAAACAATATGCATGGTCGAAAACTACAAATAAATTATATTAACTGGTATATTTATTTTTGCTTTATTAATTTTGTTTTATTTGTTATGAACAACAAAAATAAATAGTTTAAACTCATTACACGATACAATGTCCAAATCATGTCAATTATGTGGTTATCTGCCATTTTAAAGTGATCAATACCATTAAAAAACGTTCTAGACGTTTTTGGTGTGAAATTAATTTATCAATTTGTATTCATATAACATTAATAATATGATTATTCCACATAAAAGTTACATAACTCATTTGGGCAATATGTATATCTATTGTTGATTGTCTGAAATTATAAAGAATATAGTTTTTATCCAGTTATTTATTCAAATATTAGTAAAAATTATTTATTATCAAACTATAATCAAATTATTATTTTTAAAAATAAAAATGGTCAAATTTAACTTTTTAATCATTCGTTTTTTAATGGTTATAACTGCTCAGTATGGCAATGAGTAAAAGAATTGAACATGCAAATATAATTGCCTAATTAACTGTTATGTTTTCAATATCCAATATTTTGATTTGTCTATTATTATTTATTTTAACAAGAAGTCGTTTTTCGTTTCTAGCCAAACCCAGTTTGATCATTTATAAATTAACTTTGAAAATCACAAGCTTAAAATTGAGCACCATGTTAATGTGATAAAGAGATATTTTACAATTTTTGTTTTTATTTTCGTGGATCAGAGATACATCATGAACATTCATGTTAAAGTCCAAAATTAATAGTCGTTTTTTACCTTTCAAAACTTAAAAAATGGATAAAATTAAAAACTAAACCCGTCAAAACATGACGGGTCATTTCAATTAACTGTTTTTTTCGCATTATATATTTTTACTACAATAAACTTCAAAATAAATTGTTGGATTTTTTTCTTGTTTTATTGGTCAAAATTCAAATCATAAATTATCCTTTTGTCTTTTTAGTTATTTCTCTGTTCCAAAAAGTGAGCAAAATATACTTAATATCAGGGTTTCATAATTTAACAAATAACACAATTTTTATTAAAAATGTTTTACACTTTGTTCGAATCGAAGTTCTACCAAAATCTTCAACTAATTGATGGAAAACAACCAATTTATATGACCCCTATATAAATTATTATACAATAGTGGTATTTTAAAATCAAAAATTGTTACTAAAGATGGTTCTACTAAGAAAGCAGATAATTATTCTATATCTAATTGGCTTAAAATTATTGTATAAAAGAAATACAAAAATAAAATTACATTTAATGTTATAGCTAGTGCGTTTAAAACAACACCTTTCAAACATAAAGCAAGATTTTATGAATAATAAACTTGTTAGAATCTTTAGATCAACAATACACTTGTTAACAACATTTCTATAAATTCTTTATTAAGATGATTGTAATAAATAGTTTTATCTTTTTGTAAAAACATTGTTAAAAAGTATAAGTATATTTTCCTTTTTTTGTTGAAAAATAGATGTTTTGTTTCTTAATGTTTCTATAGTAATCTTATCTTTTAGTTTTCGATTTCTAAACTATTATAAAAAACTTCGACCATTTTAAGGAAATAAAAAATTGAATAAAATAATTTCAACAATCTGGGATTATCTACGATATAGATTAAAATAATAAAGAAATATAATTATTCATGTGTTACCCATTTGTTATCTATATGTTACACTGTTTTATATTATAGGTATAAATATGTTTATTGAAAATATTATTTTTATTATATAAATGAATTAACAAATAAAAATATGTCTACATCTCCTTTGAATACTAAATATTAAAAAGATTCCAAAAACAAAAATAGGAAAACTATTTCGACTAAAACAAAAGAAACTTTCATAAATTATATATTATTCTTACAAGGTATTTTAAATAAATATAATCTTATAGATAACGAAGAATTTAAAAAATATTATAAAGAAATAAATGAATACATTTTTAATAATCCAGATGTAAACAATATATAAACCAATAATCTAAATGCAAATGGATTTATCAAAGGATATGTGTTTTGTAAAGATAAAGGTAAACAACAATTAGTAAAGAAGAGAACAAGAATATTCAATAAACAATAGAACGAAGTTATTGAAAATCACAAGAAAGAAATGGATAAAATAAAGAAAGAAAATAGTAAGGCATATAGTGCCCCCTAAATCTTCATAATTTATATACTACTCGGGTTAATGAAAATGTTATCTTTGTTTCAATAACTATTATTTCTAGCTAAAACAAACGAATTTAAAAATAATAAGAAGTAATAAAAACCAAAGTTATCTCATGGTAAATAAGTGACTCCACCATACCCATTCGTTGCTAGCACAAAAATTGGAAGCGAGAACGAGTAAGAATTGTCAAGAGGATTATTCATTTTTGAAAATCTGTTTGGAGTATTACCTAATACAACAACACTTCCGGGATGATTATGAACATACAAAAACAAAAAGTGGTGGCTTGCAGGCAAATCTGGTCTGTCTTCACGGTGCATAATATGAGGAAGTAATGAATATTGGGGATCGAGTGCACAATAATCAACAGACTTGTCTCTGATTCTTTTAGTTGGATCCAAATTAATCTTGAGAATGTTTTCAACGAA